ACATTGCCAGTCCTATGGATAACACACTAGTATTATGGACTACTGAACTATATTGGATTATTTTGCTGAATTCACACATCTACAATATTTAAATGGCAATGGAATACCCATCTCTACCAAAACTAAACTAAAAAAGAGGATATAAATGAAGGACCATTTTCTATCTGTATATACAAAATAGGATAGATATACAGCTACTTTCTCTTAATTCAATGAGAAGATTTGTACTAGTAGTGTTTGTGGGCAGGCTATCATGTCTCCATCTTGTACTATGAATAACCACTACGAAGATAACAATATGCAATGTATTAATGATTGAAACTGTCCTGCTAATCGGTTTTGAAACTGTCTCATTGCCATTTCTCAATAAAATTCATTTAAAAAATAAAGTAGGACCCATCAAAAAGGCTCTATCATTCTAAAACAGAGGTGTTATTCCCCAGAATGTCCATATCACATTTGAACACATGTAGAACATCAAATATATAACCAAGACACAAGAAAAAAACGTAAATACACAAGAGATTAATGTATCCTCTACCCTATGTAATGATTCTTAGCTAAGGTTTTATTTAAAAACAGAATTCTATAAGCAAATGAGTAGCTAAGAGGCCAGTTACTAAAGCTTATGTCATAATCCAGCTTTGTACTTCTCACTGGCTAATTTTAGACCCTTAAGATAGACAATTTAGTGTTTTCACATTTTGAGTATGGACGAAATACACTTCATACACTACAATTTTTTCATTTATTAAGGTCAGTATGATTTGTACCGCAAAATAAATCAGAGTATATAAAAGATCCAAAATTTTCAAATGATATTAAATCTTCAATTCATAAAAGAAGTCTTTAAGATTTAAAAACACAGGTTGAGTCCCTTTTCCTAAATGCTTAGGACCAAACATCTTTCAGATTTTAAATGCTTACATATATATAATGACACATCTATAGGATGGGGCCAAGCGAAAACATGAAATTCATTTATTTTTCATATACATCCTATGCACACAGCCTGAGAGTAACCCTATCATATTTCTAACATGTCTGCTTTTACAACATGTCATGTGAGGTCAGACGTAGCACGTTCTATTTGTCATCATGCTAGGGCTTAAAGTTTCCAATTCTGGATTTTCAGATAAGGGGTGTTCAACCTGTATTTCTTTCTGGGGGAAGTATTTCCCAGACATCATACAATTTTCTAAAATACAGCTATGCAAAACTTTCAATTATTAAAAATAATTACAAACAGCAAGTTTGCTGAGAACAAAGAAAAAAATGGCTTGGTTATTCTGAGTTGATAACAAAATGGGACAAAGAAAACTGTATCAGGATCACTTACAGACATAAAATTTCACTTACTTTTTTAAACATAACTAGTGAGATGACTGCTGATGCTGTGAAAAGTGCTGCTATGATTATCATCATGATTCCAACGGGAATATTTTGGTTAAGACCAGTAAGGGATGAAATCCAACCACTACAAAATAAAAAAAGAAAAGTGTAACTAAGCAAGCAAGTCAATGCACACTTTAAAAAATAACATAATGCCTAAGTCATAGTCAGCACTTTTGAACCAAGAAATGTCCAAGACCTTTTTCTGCACTAACTCCTCTACTTCTCACAACCACCCCATGAGACAGATGTGATTTTTAATCCTTATTTTACAGCTGAGGAACTGGGTCACAGAGGCATTCAGGCCCAAAGCTACAGAGCAGATAAATGGCAGAGTCTGAATTCAAAACCAAACAAAACTCCTGAAACTTAAGGTTCAATTGCCAAACTATTACATTATTTAAGCCTGTGAATTCATTGTTACATTTTTAAATGATTGTTTTAAATTTTGCTGAATTATGGGAGGGAATATTTGCAACACATTTACAATAAAGGATTAGTTTCTAGGTTACAGAAACTGTTGCAGCTCATTCTTACAAAAAATGCACTTAAGCAACTTGATCCCTCCTGTCACTCAGGCGCTATTCCTATGCCTCATTCCCATTCCTCAACAAATGTTCCTACTCTAAAAAAAAAAATCCATTCAGAAAATAGGCAAAAGATATGATAAAATATTTAAAAGGACAAAGATAGCAAATAAGCACATGAAAAGATGTTCAACCTCATGAGTCATTAGGTAAATGTAAATTCAAACACAATGAGATATTACTGCACACCTTTCAGAATGGCTAAATTTTTTAAAATGGTAACAGCCATGCTGATGATGATGTAAAAACTGAATCATTCAATATAAAAGGAAAAACTAAACTAAAATACAACTTCCATATGACCCAACTCTATCCCAAAGAAATGAAAACTAAGTTTACAAGAAAGCTTTTACAAATACTCAGCAGCTTTGTTCATAACAGCTCCCAACTGCAAACAATCCAGATGTCCAGCTGAAGAAAAAGAAAATGACTACAGTACATTCAAGCCATGTGTTACTTCTCAAGGATGAAAAGGAATAAACTATAGACGCAGGTACCAACCTGGATGAGTCTCACAGAATGATGCTGAGCAAAAAACCCAAGAGCTGTACACCAACTGCATTTACATGGGGACAAGCAAATTAGGCTTATGGGGTAAGGAGGGAAGGGGGCTGGAAAGCTGTGATAGCGATTATGAAAAGCAACAGGAGCAGTCCTCTATGTGACAGCAATGTCGGGCATCCTTACCACCAATCCCAAGGTCCTTGTTTCTATATTTTATAGGATTTCACACAGGGAGAATGTGTAAAGAGCATCTGAAAAGGCTTGATAGGTATTTCTTACAACTGTATGACAGTTTGTAATACTTTACTTCAAAATACATTATAAATTTAAAATATCTGAATTATACCATGTCTATTTTAAAGAGGCCATCCCACATAGCCCTCATCAGTACACTCTTCAGTACTAGTCACATGCCATTTTGCTCAATTTTGACATTTTTTACCTTAAATTTAAACTAAAAAAACAAAACGAATTACTTCAATTTCACAACTTGGAAGACTGTGCTGCTAAAGCAAGCAGTTTTTAAAATATTTAAAGCATTTCCTGTCCTTCAAATGCCAAAGACTATTCACTACTTAAAATAATAATGAAAACTACTTTTTCTAGCAGTGATTTAAAGTATCTCTGAAAGCCCTCTGCATGTATATATGCCCACAAGGAGTCTGCAAAATTCCCACAAGTGTCTGACAGTCAAAACCACTCAAGTCCAAGGCAGTACTCTAAACAAGGCCTGCACACACGCATCCCATGTCCACTTCTGTTCCAACTTTGGGAAGACAGTACATACCTCAGCACATGCCACCAAGAGAGGTGCTCCCTCCAGGATTAAGAAAAGAGACCTTAACCTTACCTTCTCCCCCAGGCTCCCAGGTCCCTCTGAGTGAGTCTACTGTTTAATAGTGTGAGTGCATGAGGTGATTCAATCTCCTAAAGACAACAGGCCAATATCTATGAAAATACGTGTACCTGTGTAAGTATATATGAGCTCCATGTAGGGTGCACATTTATCATCTTAGCACTCTAGGAGGCTAACACAGCAGGACCAAAAGTTGAGAGCCCAATTTGGGCTATTTAGTGGGATCCTGTCTCAGAATTTTAAAAAGGGCTAGGAATGTAGCTCAGTGAAAAAGCCCTGGGTTTAATCCTCAGTAGCACCAGAAACACACAACTGTGTTTGTAAACCTAAAATAGTGCTTTACACACAAAGGTGTTCTTTTCCTTCAAATCCTTGATAATATTTTCTCTGCCTTCCAAAATATTTTGGTCCTCTCTCTAATCCGAAGCCCATTCTGTATTCTTCCTCTTAAAGTCCATTACATTCACTTTAGTTAAATTAAATGCCCTTAAAACATACATGTATTTCTGTATTTTATTTCAACTAAATATTATATGCTGTTTAAAAAAAACAGGAATGAAATCTTTAAAGAGAATAGTGTCTCCAAAGGTTACGTTTTAGAAAAAAAAATTTAACCAGTTTTTTGCTTTTATTTGCTTCTGCTAAACTGTTTTTTTTTGTGTGTGTTAACTATATGAATTAGGACAACAAAAATTGTATGTAAATATTGGAATAACTTCAAGTTGATTGCCTAAATAGACTTACCAATTGCCCCAGTTATGAAATCCTGCAGCCTGGAGCACATGGACAGCAAACTGACAGATATAGACGAAGAAGAACACAAAGAATCTGAAGGAACTGTCACTCCTTAAGGGGAGGGGGAAAAGAGGGAAAATGTCATTTTTTTATCTTCACATTCATATGCCCACTGACATTTCAGCTTTAAAACCAAAAGGGGAACTACCTAAGGCCTAAAATTAAAAGACACATCACAATTTGTGACATGTGAATATTCAGTATTATCGCACTCACTTGGTCTTTCAATTTTCAACTGCACTATTATCCACCTTAACAAGAAACTTTCCTTTTATTAAGCAATTTCACAAAATTATAATTAACAAAAGAAGTAACACTTACTTAAAATATATACTCTGGCAATCACTGACCTATGGCCCGGACTTCCCCCAGCCCATACTGAGCATATCTCTTTCTCCCCTCCCTGCCTTACCACAGCTTTCTATCACAGTTTGCCTATTTTATTTAGATTTTTACACAACTGTAAGCATATATTAGCTACTCACTTTGCCATCCCCCTTCATTCAGCACAATTACTTGAGATTCTCCACCCATGGTATGGCATGTATCAGAAATTCATTTCTTTTCACAATTTAGCCACTCACTGTTAATGGACATTTAGATTTTTTTCTAGTATTTTACTATTACATAACTCACAATATAAGCATATATTTCCTTTTTTCTTGGGTAAACATCTCCAAGTAGAATGGATGGAACACATTCTTAAACTTTTTAGGCAACTGCCAAACTACTTTACAAAAAGATCACTCCACGTTACATTTCTTTCTTTTTTCTTTTCTTTTATTTTAGTGTGTGTATGTGTGCACGCGTGTGTGCATCTTTTTGAGACAGGATCTCACCTTCAGTTCAGGCTGGCCCTGAGCACACTTTGTAGCTGAGGCTGGTCTCGAACTCCCAACAATCCTCTTGACTCAGCCTCCTGAGTGCTGGGATTACAAGCATACGCCACCATGCCTGGCTCCTGTTACATTTCTACCAGCACTGTTATTCTAGCTCCCCCATAACTCAACAGTATTGTACAGTTAGGTTTTTTTGAATTCTAGCCATTCTAATGTTTGGCTTTCATTTTCCTTTTCCTAATAAGCAGCATTATTAAGCAACTTTTCATATCATACTTCTTTGGTGAATCATTAATATCTTTTTCTGATTTTTGGGTTTTTTTTTTTTTTTTTTTTTTGTGGTACCTGGGATTGAACTCAGGACCTTGCACTAGCCAGGCAGGCACTAATGCTGCTGAGCTATCTCCCTAGCGCTTTATGTTTTAACTAGATTATTTTCTTTACTCATGAGTTTTGAGAGTTTTTTAAAAAATATTCTGAAAAATATAATCCTTTATTAGATACATTCTAGGCAAAAAAGTTTCTCCTCACCCATGGTTTTCTTTTCAATCCGTGTATATATATTAATATGTGTATGTTTTAGGGGCACTTTTTAACTTTCAGCAGTAGGATGGTGAGTTATCACTAATTTTTAATGTCCAATAAACCTGGAATTTCTGGAAAAAGCTCCAGCAATCTAATCGTGATTTTTATTTATTTATTTTTTATTTTTGGTGATACCAGGGATCAAACTCAGGACCTTGTGCTTGCCAGGCAAGCAATTATTCCACTGAGCTATCTCCCCAGCCCCCACATGCCTTTTAATATACTGCTGGATTTAAGCTTGACAACATTTTTATTGTGTTGAAGTCCACCATATTTTCTGTTCCACACAGTGATTATACCCGAGGCCCCTAATACCTCACTTACTCAATCTCAGCATGGATCTCTGCTCATCAGAAGGAAAATAGACCACAGGACCAGGTTCCTGCACCTACTTCTTTACATAATGCCTTTCCTACTTCACTCATATCATTGACCTTCCCTCCTGAGAGGCAGTGTCTGTCCTCTAAAGCTGTCACTTGCCGAGGAAACTCTCAGCCTCCCTACTAACTCCTGGATCCCCCAGTAGTGGTTATTTGCTCTCCACCCTGACTAGTCACTGTCTGCCCTTTGGGACCTACATACAGGGCTTTTTCATCTGAAGACAGCTCTTTTTATTGGCCCTTTCTTCCCCTGAAATTTCCATCTTCTCTATTTCTCCCTTTCCTTCACTGACCTATGTCTGAAAGGAATGGTCTACCGGTGATTTCTTCCACCTCCTTCCTCTCAGTCCTCTGTAACCTGACCTCTTCTACATACTCTTCTGGAGGTGCTCAAAGTCATGGGAAATCTAATTTTCCAAACTTCTTCTGAGCCTCTTTTTCTATGGCTTTCCACATCGCAGACCGTTTTTCAAATACTTTTTGCCTCTGCTTCAGCAATTTTATTCACTTCTATTTCTGTTGTTTCTCTGACCTAGAGTGCTTTTCATTTCTTATTTATGGACCCACAAATCTTTGTGTCAAATTACAACACTTTTTATAGGAAAGCATCCAACATGATTCTTGTGTCTTCCCATGTTTGAAAACCAGGCACCGCAGACAGAATCTAAGTAACACAACAGCATACAGATCTCTGCACACCTCTGTGGCAGCTCCTGCTATTCTACACTAGCACAGCAGTTAAGTCTCACTCTCTGAATGCCTTCACTTACTCTGCCTATGGTGCCTGACACGCCTTTCCTCCTGGCAAACACATTAACTCCAGCTAACACTCAGGACTATTAAATTCAGCCCACAAAGGAATAAAATCTACATGTAATGTATGGAATTCTACTGTGTTGTCCCTTCCCGTCCCCTTATTAATCATTTACCTACACAATGTGGACTCATAGCAACTATTTTACTCTTCAAGTTAAAATTAAATACTATTATTAGTTATTTTGTTACTTATTTATTTCAGCTTAAGTCATTTTAGGACATTTATTTAGCACTTGATTATCTGTACTCCTTTTTCCCTACTACAATTAGCCAGAACTCTAAGATACAAGAAAATATTTTTAGTGGACCATGAAAGTGTTCTACATTAGTCATATCAAGTGGTTCCACATTTACAGTAATTCTGTAAGTAATATATTGCAATGTAGTTGGTATTAATGCCCATTCATACAGCTTAGGAAAAGTGCCAATGAGAAGTAATCAGTCAATAACAAAATTCCTAACTATAAAATGTTATTTTATTAGTATAAAAGAGAAGCCCCATATATGGCTCATCTCTTCTAGCTCACTAGGTAAACAAAGTATTACTTTCACTCCATCATCAATTTCTTTTTACTGCTTTGAAATACACTTCTGGGACTGGGCATACAGCTTGGCAGCACAGTGCCTGCCTAGCAAGTAAAAGGTCTTGAGTTTGAGTGCCACTACAAAAAAAAAGTACAATTGAAATATACTTCTGAAATATATTTGTATTTCCCTATGCCTTTAGCAGAGAAAAATATAACTTAGCATATTTTTAGTTCTAAAAGTTTTTACTTTTATTGTTTCTGTACTAAGAAACCAGAATATCAAACTTTTAAAAAAATATATCTAGATATAAGAGAGATGTATGATAATATGCCTAAAAGCTTTTAAACAGCTATTTCAGTCACCTAAAAGAGATTTATTTATTTATTTATTTATTTTTTTTACTAACTTCCAAATCCACAGATGTTTTCTAGAAGTTCAAACTGTCACTTTTAGTTAAGTTTTTTACAGCTAGGGAAATAGCTCAGCGGCACAGCACCTGCCTGGCAAGCATAAAGTACTGAGTTCAATTCTTCGTACCAAAGAAAAGATAAAAATCTTTTAGAAGGGTACTAAACATACCTAAGAAGTTATATAGTCTTACTAAAAAAACTATTTCTAAGTTTGGATAACTGTACTGTTGATTTGTGCTGCTCTTTTGAAAGGAGTTGCTAACCCTTAATTTGTTTTTTCTTCTTTTGAATTTCTTACGGCTTATTTTTTTTTTTTTTTTTAAGTACGGTGTCTACAGGGTCTTACTACACAGATCAGACTTGTAGTGAACCTCCTCCGCTGGGATTACAGGTGCACGCCACCACACCCAGACTCAGTCCCAGCTCAGCGCAACCCGGAAGTGGAGCCAGCAAGGCATACCTCTGAGCCTGCCTAAGCAGATGCTTCAGTCTACAGAGCTATCTGGCTGGTCCTTTTGTTATTGTTTTGTTTTGCTTTTGCTTTAAACAAATCTTGCACATTTTTATCTGGTAACCTGAACAACTAATTTTAAGATGGCATCATGTAATACAAAAACCACTGTTGAATTCCTATTATTTTATTTAGTGAAATTTTGTATCGTTTCTAATGCTGTTTTTCTCTATCATTATTTTCTATTCTTTTTTTATGCATTTAGTACAGGGTCTACAGGGGTCTCACTACACAAATCAGACTCACAGTGATCCTGTTATCAGCCTCCCAAGCACTGGGATTAGAGGAGTGTATCACCACGCCCAGTCTTAGTTACTATCTCAGAACACCTCGGGGGCAGGGCCAATATGGCCCACCAAGATCAAACCTGGTCCCTGAGCCTGCCTAAAGCAGGTGTGTTAGTCTGCTGGGCTATCTGGCTGGCCTTAAGCTATCTGGCCAGCTCATATTCTTTAAACAATAAAAGAAAAAATTTTAAAAATAAAAAGACTTTCTAAAATGTTGTTCCCAAATACAAATGGGAGTTACATTACAAATGATTCATCTTCTTTTTTTAACCTATAATTAGCACAAGAAAGTACAGTTAGTGCAGGAAACTGATAAAAGCCTCAAAGCTTTTAAAACCCACTTTGTCTACTTTTATTGTTTAATCAGGCTCAATAGCTTTATTTGGTTCAAGGGTCCCCACACAAGGCCTTGCAATTCTTAGCAAATGCTCTACCATGAGCTACACCCTCAGGCTGACTTACCCATTTTAAACGAAGGAAAAAAAGAGGACAAATATTAAAAACAAATAGAAAAACAATTTACAGTGATTTAAACTAAGTGGCTTAAGTTGTTATATACTTCTGTTTATAATGAAGTATTGATAGCATTATGAATACTCATAATAAATGCACCTACGTAACTTATTTCCCGGTCAGAATAAATAACTGTTTTCTACTATACACTATTTTGGAAATTTTAGATGAAAGCCTATTAG